ATAATCATAGTTATTATTGTAATTAACAAATAATAATTAACAATAACTTTATCCATAACAAAATTATAAATTTCAAATTCTAACTCACTATTTTACAAGACTAATAAAATAATTATAAATAAACTTACCATGGATTTACCGGTGAGTATCAAAGTGATCAATTATCGTTAAGCTACCTACCCACCTAACGGAGAAAGTTCCAGCATTTTCCTTTTCCATTACATGATCATAAATATTATTTTAAATAATCAATCCATTTATTTATTTTTTTTATTTTTTTCCTCTTGCTTTTAATTTAAGAGGCATAACCAGTGTGAAATTTTCAAAAAATCAATTTTTTATTCATATACCTTTAAAAATAACATACTCAAATTTTAAATCGATATTTCAAATAGTTTTTCAGATGAATCGTTGCATTAGCTACACTGATAGAAGAATTTGTTTATAGTTAAAAATATTTGTTAATATTTAACAAATCATTTCTTAGTATTTAAAAAGATTTATTGATATTTAATAAATGAATATCAGATTTATTAAATACTAAGAAATATTTGTTTAATACTAAAAAGTAGTCTCTAATAAATAATTTATTAACTTATTAACAAATATTTTTTAATATAAATAAATCCTTCTGTGTACAGAAAAACGCGTTTTTTTTTAAACAGCATTTTTTGAATTTGCTGGAGTGATTACTCGAAGACAAATCGGCTGCCCAATTTTAAAACACAGTAACTGCAAAATTTTTATACCTGATTTTTTTTTAGTATTCCTGCATTTTTTATAATTTTTAGACCTTAATTTCAAGTATTTTCTCTTAAAAATATTTATATTCAAGTCTTTTCTATTCATGAATCAAATTTTTCATCAATTTGGCGGATAAACTTTTTTTTAATAAGAAAAATCGAAAAAAATTTCGAAATGTTAGTTCCTGTGTTTTAAAATTGTACATGTTCTGTATATAATTCTCCATACAATGATCCTCCAGTTTTTTGATCTGATCAAAAATTGAATTTTGGCAGGCCAAAAACGACCAAAATTTTGGGTAAAATTCAACTTTTTTTTTTAAAAACGCCACCAATTTGTCAATTTTTGATATTTTTTTTCGACCGTGGGTCATCGTACGGAAAATATCTTCTAGTTTAACGAGAATTTTTTTTTTTTTAGCGTGTAACTCGGAAAATATTTAATTTTTTTCTTCAAAAATTTTACTGTATACTCTTAAAATATGTATTATTCCACCCTTAAAATTTTAAAACAATTCATACAGTTTTTTTTATTTTAATTCTCAAAAATCGCTTTTTTTTTTAGGCTGTCACACCGGTTGTGCCCCTTGAAGAAAAAAAATCGGATAATTTGGTCATTATATTTCATTTTAAAACTGACCTATTGTACTAAAACCTTTTTTTTAACTGTCTACGTGCCTTCACGCAGGTATAAAATAAAAAATAAAATAAACCAAACTATTATTTCCGCTCAACGCGTAATAATGAACTTTAATATGTTTAATGCATTTTAAATATTACGTCAACCGTTTTTGCATTATCTTTTTTACCGACTAAATTAACCTTGAACTCTTTTTACAACGTACTCAATCATTTTATTTTTTTTTAAAATATTTAACTGGTAATAAATTTCAATTTAAAAAATAATACAATCATTTAAGCGCGATAAAGATTATTTTTTAGTCCAGTTGAATAATTAAAAAAAAAATATTAAGTATACGTTAATCGGTACCAGTTATGTAATATAATATACTTGATAGCTAATTGTGAGATAAAATAAAGTAAAATAAAATTATATGAATATTTAGAATCGCGATTTGGTTTTTGGTTTCACAAATCGGTTGTATAACTCAATACGTAATAGAACTTGGGTAACATTTCTCGGTGTACACATCAGTATCCAGAATATCCCGGTTTCTCCAGATATTATCCATTGGTATGCCAGCAGCCTTTTGGCGACCGGTTTTTCTCCATCTCCATCTCCATCTTCATCTTCATCTCCATCCAGCTCGTCCTTATGCTGGTGCTCATAACTTTTTATCCTTTTATCTTTATCTTCCTTCTTTTTAATTTTTTTCTTGTTATCTGTACAAGTCTTGTAAAGTAAACCATCCAAAAAGAACGAGACTTGTTATGCCCGTCCACTTTATATCATTTGTCTCCGTTGATTTTCATTTTTTTAACGTGTCCGATCAATCTGTAAATAATGTATTTTACCGTTTAGTTAATGTATCATCTAGTTTAGGCTACTTCAGATTTATATCTTTACTTTCAGTGTCTATCTTGATAGATAAATTGTTTTATTTTTAGTATTTATTTATTTTCCAATACATAAGCCCAACAGCCCAAAGGGCCAAGAACAGGGCTACTTAATTTTATAAATTGAAGATTTTGACAGTGTTTAATAATAGAATTAATATTTGGCTCTATATAAACTAAAATTTTAAAATTAGAGTGATTTTTATAATCATCAGATGACTTAGTAGCTATAGTAATAAGAAAAAAAAAAAAATATAATACAATGATGAATTACGACTACATATGCAGAGTTACATTTTCCTTTTTCTTAAATCTAAGATTGCTGTTAACCAGGACCAGGATTGACTAGATCAGATATTAAATTTAATAGTTAAGCGATGGTATTACGTAATCTCAGAATTAGAGACACAAGAGAGCTAGCGGTGAGCGGTTGGTTGTGTCCGAATAGGTCAAAATCATACTCCTCATCAATACTCTTAGCAACAACGAAATTACATATCGCTAAAAGTCTGTACAATGGTGATGCCTGCGCCAAAGCCGATCTTACCAGAGGGAGTTGAAAGGGATTCGAGGATCTGAGGTTACGCGAAGGGATTTTAAATGGGAGTATAGGGACAGGAATTTTGGGCAGTGGATGAGACTCCTACAAACCCCTACTACAAATAGTACCGCGGCGCAATTTCTTCTCTCTTCTAGAGTCAGCATATTTAATTCGTGGTCCTACATAACTCGAGATAATCGGTCCCGCGAGCCGGGTAATCACCAGTCTTTTTGTATATGAAATATTTCGCGAATTTACGTTGTATTATTTCGATGGTTTGCATATGCTTTTTATAGGTCGGTGACCAGATAACTGACGCATATTCTAATTTAGGGCGGACAAGGGCTGAGTACAGGGCCTTAATTGCTGCAAGATTCTTAAAATTTTTTGTTATCCTAATTACAAATCCCAAGGTCTTGAGTGCTGACGTAGCTATGGTAGTGTAGTATTAAAAATATGATACTGATATTTTGAATTTTTATTACAAATAAAATATAAAAATTAATATTTTTATAATTTTGTATTTATTACTGTTTTTTTAATTTATAAATGCGGAATTTTTTTTATTTAATAACTAAAAAAAAATTTGATTTTTTTTCATTTCAGTTTCATATTCAAAATTTAGTTTTAAATTAAAATCGGCCAAATTTTTATACAAATTTGATAATTTTTTAGCTTCACAAAATTTTTTAGTACAAAAAATCGAAGAATTAAAATTTTGAAACATTTTTTTTTAATTAATCTATTCTACGATGATTTTACAATAATATTAATAGAAATTTGTCAGAATAATTGATTTAAGTAATTTTGAAGCTTTCAATTTTTAATATTCTACATATAAAAAAATTTTTTTGAATTATTCTATTTTTTATAAACTTTAAGAAAAAAAGATCTAATTAAAAAAAAAAAAAATTTGGTAATTATTTACAAGTGAAAAAAAAATAAATTTCAATAGCTTTTTTGCCTTCAAAAGTTAGAAAAAATTTTGGCTCATGTTTTTGGATAAAATTTCTATTTTATCTTTTTTCGATATATTTTTTTTTGAAGAGTACATAAAACAAGGAACAACTTAAAAAAAATAAGTTGAATATCACAATTTTCTAAAAAATTTATAAATTTTTTTAAACATTTGTAAAATTGGTTAGAATTATGATGATTAACTTTTTTTTTTTAAATTGTTCATTTTTTTATGTATTTAAAAAAATGAAAATTAAAATAGTGGCCCCACTTGTAAATAATTACCAAAATTTTTTATTGGTGGAAATATTATGGACCATAAAATTAAACAATTACCAAAAATTTCTACTGAATTGATCCTCATTTTTAATATCTTACTATTTTTGGTATATAATTAACAATTATAATTAAACTCAGATTATCTATAGACTTGGCCTTCAAAATTATTCCAAGTTATTCAAAATAAATACTTACAATATTAGCATTCATAATTTTTTCTAATTTCTTTAAAATTATATTCTTTAAATTTTCATTCATAAATTTTATTGATACTCTAATTTTCTTTAATTCTATCTAAAAAAAAAAAAATTTAACTACAATTATAATTAAACCCGAAATTTAATTAATAAAAATTTTATGTTATTAAAAATAAGTACTTACATTACTTGTATCAATAATTTAAAAAAAATTTTGCAACTAGCTATCCCTGTAAATTTAATTCATAAATTTTTTGATATTTAAAAAAAATAATATCAATAAAATCAAATAGAAATTTCGTTCAAAAAAATAAAAAATTACCGAAATAATTACCAAAATTTTTTATTGGTTTTAATATTATGAAACATATAATTAAACAATTACCAAAAATTTCTACTAGATTGACATTCTTTTTTAATATCTTACTATTATAATTAAATTTAGATAATTTAAACTTAGCCTTCAAAATTATTCCAAGTTATTCAAAATAAATTCTTACAATATTTGCATTCATAATTTTTTCTGTCTTTAAAATTACATTTTTAAAAATTTCTATAAAAAAAAAAAATTATGAAACTACAATTATAATTTAACTCAAAATTTAATTTAGTTGAAAAAATTTTATATTATTAAAAATAAGTACTTACATTACTTGTATTAATAAATTTTTTCAAAAAAAACTTTGCAACTATCCCTGTAAATTTAATTCATAATTTTTTTGATATTAAAAAATTTTTTTATTCTAAAAAAAAAAATTAATTAATAATTGCAGACAGCCGACGCATCTCAACCAACGGCTGTAAGAATGTCGAGCACCCCAGTCTACGAAGGTGAAACCAGCACCGAAGTATCATCATCATACTTCAGTACTTTGGATCTAGGACTACTTGGTGTGTTGCTTCTAGTAGCTGGCTGGTACGTCTTTAAAAAAAGCAAGCACGATGACTTGCCACCAGCCAGCAAATCTTACTCAATCCAGTAAGTTATCAATCATAAATCACAATCATTATCTATTTATTATCTTCATCTCAAAGATAACCACAAACGCTGATTAATTTCCAGACCGACGAGTTTTACAGCGACAGCTCCTACGGAAAACTCATTCATTAAAAAACTCCGGACATCCGGACGTAGTCTGGTAGTTTTCTACGGCAGTCAAACAGGAACTGGTGAAGAATTCGCCGGTAGACTCGCCAAAGAAGGTGTCCGGTACAAGATGAAGGGAATGGTAGCTGACCCAGAGGAATGCGACATGGAAGAGCTGGTGAACTTGAAACAAATACCCAACAGCTTAGCTGTTTTCTGTCTGGCTACTTATGGCGAGGGTGATCCTACCGACAACGCCATGGAGTTTGTAGACTGGCTGAAAAATGGCGAAGCTGATCTCACTGGACTTAATTACGCCGTAAGTGCTGAGAGTAATTATTGCAATTAATTTTATTAAGGAGATCCACGCGAAGTCAAGTTTTTAAAACTTCCTGAAAATTTGTAAATTCAATCTACCTAGCCTAATAATTTATAAAAAAATTATAAAACAGATTTTCGGGATATTTAATCAAATAATTAGGTTTGAAAATTGTAATTTTTACATGTAGGTAAATGGAGATTCCACCAGCCGTGTATTTGCTTAAGAATTTAATGCAATTAGCGATTTTAAAAAAATTTTATTTTCATTGAATTTGATTGAAAAATTACAAGGAACTATATTTAATTTTTTGGAGCAAGAGAGAAATTTTCTCAAGACAAGAAAATTTACTTCTATCAAGAACTAAATTTTTTGGAGCAAGAGGCTGAATTTTTTCAAAAGATTTTCTTGACTTAAATAAATTTTCTTGAATTAAGATATGTATTTCTTAAAGAGAATTAATTTTGTTGAAATAAGTGAAATTTCTTGTGTCAAAGTGAATCTTTTTTTCTGTGCACTCTGGCCGCTTCATTATAATAGCTATAACTTTGTCAATATTCGATAATACTAAAGCTAGCCGACGTTTCTAATTTTTTTATTTTTTTCCATTTATTAAATTGGAACAAAAAAATATTTTTTAAAAATTGCACTTAAAGTCTTTCAAGTTTATTACAAATAAAATTTTTTTTTATTTTTTTGTAATAATTCTTTTAATAATAAAAATTATAAAAATTTTTAAATGTCGGCTAACTTTATTTTCATAAATTAATGAAAATTAAGTTAGCCGACATTTAAAAATTTTTATAGTTTTTTTTTATTGAAAAAATCATTACAAAAAAATAAAAAAAAAAATCGCACGTCTAAAAAACTTCAAAAACTGTAAGTGTAATTTTAAAAAAAATTTTTTTGTTCTAATTTGATCATTAAAAAAAAAAAAATCAAAAAATTTAGAT